TACCGTTACTCCTCATTCCACGAGGAGTAACGGTAGTTTGGACTAGAAAGCCTAGTCCGAACTACCTAGTCCATGCCACGTGTAGCCGCGCGGCACGGGGTTCGAACGAGCCGGGATTTAAAAATGGCGGCGCCCGGCTTATGCAAACGAAGCCCGGGAAATTCAAATCCCGGGCTTCATTTGCAAGTGCGGTATGCCTACATTACCCTCCTTGTTCGAACTAGGAGCGTAGTGTAGACATACCTACAGACAGTTCCACCGCTACGACCTTATGATTATCAGATGATTAGATGATTCTTAGATGATTGTTAGATAGGAGGTCGTGGCCTCATTGTTTCCCCATGTGCAGAGATGTCCACAATGCATCAGTCGGTAGGAACAGGCACAGCTTCTAGTTGCAGCGAGTAAGGTCGTGGGGTCCCCTTACCCGGTCCCTCCCACTGATTACCTTTTCTACCCCTATTTTATAACAAAGCGAGACTTTACGTGATTGTTCTAGTGAAATCTGCCAATTAATCATCTATTGTCTTTGCCCCTCTTTTGTACACATTTTGCTAATCAAACTACACTATACTTAACTGATAGTTCTATGGCTGCATCAGTAATATTGCTCATTAGTATTGTTAGGTCCCAGTACCGGGTTACTCCCAATGTTCTTGGCATGGTTTCTCTGTATCAATACTCTCAGTGCACTGTTGTTTCATGCACTCTGACTCCTTGGCTTGGCCCACGTGCTTTCATGCACTAGCCTCTAATCAGGCCTGGTTTGCCTTATAAGAAGACTCACTTTGGTCAAGGCAGCCATCGCTAGTCCTGTCCATGCAGGGCCGGACAGCACAGACATTACTATTCTGGTCAAGACGGGATTGTCCAGGCTCCCCTACAGAAGGTTCTTGTGTCTCTAGACTCCTGGTTGTAATTCTTTTGTATTTCACCAGTGGCTTCTTATGTCTTCATCCCAGAATCATCGAATCCCAGGGCTGGAAGAGACCTCAGAGTCATTGAGTCCAATCCCCTGCTCAAAGCAGGACCAACCCCAGTCAAATAATCCCAGCGAGGGATTTGTCAAACCTGGTCTTGAAAACCTTCAGGGATGGAGATTCCACGCCCTCCCTAGGGAACCTGTCCCAGTGCTTCACCGCCCTCCTAGGAAAATAGGTTTTCTTAATATCCAACCTAGACCTCCCCCAGTGCAACTTGAGCCCATTGCTCCTTGTTCTGCCATCCGTCACTACTGAGAACAGCCTCTCTCCATCCTCTTTGGAACCTCCCTTCAGGGCATTGAAGGCTGCTCTCAAATCCCCCCTCACTCTTCTCTTCTGCAGACTAAACAAACCCAAATCCCTCACCCTCTCCTCATAGTTCATGTGCTCCAGCCCCTAATCATTTTGGTCACCCTCCACTGGACCCTCTCCAATGCGTCCACATCCTTTCTATAGTGGGGGGCCCAGAACTGGACACAATACTCCAGATGTGGCCTCACCAGAGCCGAATGAAGGGGAATAATCACTTCTCTGGATCTGCTGGCAATTCTCCCACCAATGCATCCCAATTTGTCATTAGAGCCCTTGCCCCATCAGCAGGCTTGTGCAGAAGTGTTGTGAGGCACCCACAGAAAAGATGTGCAGATTAAACCTCAATGGGACTGGGATATGGACTCTGTCACTTCAAAATTATTTTTCAGTCCCATTCTAGGTTGGTAGCCCCAAAGCCAGGGCATGTCGTAGCTGTACTGTGACCTGTGGGAAATAAATTCTTTTGATCTCCTAGTGGCATGTACCCAGGTAGTCACAAAGCCATCCGAAGCTGCTCGTGTGGACTGATGGAAACAAATCCCAAAAGTACAAACCTAAGATTGGCCACCTTGAGTCGGACCTGTGACCTATCTAGGCCGGTCTTCGACTCTGACGGTGATCAGAGTCAGGTACTTCATACGACATGGTCCAGTGGCTATTAGCCAAGATGGTCAATCTTCCATGGAATTAGCTCATTCTGTTTTGAGTCCAGTTATACTTTTGGCTGCAGCAAGGAGTTCTACCAGTTGTGGTGAAGAAGAACTTCCTTTTGTTTGTTTTAAACACGCTGCCGATTAATGTCATCTTCCCCCGTGTCTCCGATGTTTCAATCAAATGACTCAGAACAACTCACACTGTGCTCTGCTTAATGTTAAATAAACCAGTCCAAAGCCTGGCCAGAGCAATTAACCAGGAATTTGCCTTTTGATGTTTTTCAGTCAAATATCGAATCTTTGAGGCGGGTCACCATCTGGAACCATTGTCAAAACCAGTGATTGTTGAATTTCAAGTAAGACATTTTCCTGTCACTTTGTCACCGTGTCTATGTGTAGAGAATTGAGGTTTGGAAACTTGACCTTTTTAACCAACATCACTGAAGGGAATCTCTCAGGGTGTGTCTACACAGCAGCGCTATTGTGGGACAACAGACGTTATTCCAAAATAACTTTGCGAGCGTCTACACAGCAGTTCCGTTATTTTGAAATTTTGAAATTACGGGTGGCTTCTTCCAGACCTATTCTGAAAGAGAAATGTATTTCAAAATAGCTGTAATGTGGACGCTCCACTGGTGCTATTTCAAAAGAGCTCCTCCCCCAGGTCATGCAAATATTACTCCCCCGTGCTTCCTAGGGTACTAAATCTAGGTGGCACGACCACATTAGGGGAGCCTGCCTCGGACTAATTTTGATGTGTCCCTGTTGCATAGAGGCACTATTTCAAAATAAACTATTTGGCTATGTCTACACTGGCATGATTTTCCGAAAATGCTTTTCATGGAAAAGTTTTCCATGAAAAGCATTTTCAGAAAAACATGTCTAGATTGGCAGGATGCTTTTCCGCAAAAGCACTCTCCTTCTGTCCTCACTGCGCCTTGCAGCTTAACAAGAGAGGCACCCAGTGCCCGTAGGTGCTTAGCGACACCCACTCATTTTTTCCCCATGGGCACACCAGTCCTGGCACCCTCGCGGACCAAGCATCTATGCGCCCAGAAATCCCAGCTCCTCTGTCCCCCCAAGGAGGAGTGTGCTGCCGTAGGTTGGTCCCCTTTCCACCACCGCTCCTGCAGAAGAAGCGGCCGGTGTGAGCCCGATACAACAGTTGAGAACGAAGGCAGTTGTGGCTCGAAAGGAGAATCCCTTGGCGCAGCGAGTTATGATGCAAAACAAAGTCCCAAAAAGTGCATCTGGGGGTTCATTACTCCTCTTGGTGGCTCACAGAGTTGGGGTCCCTCTCCCCAATGTTCAGCCAGTGGCAGAGCTCACAGGCCCCAGGACCAGAAACTTCATGACAGGGCCGTCGCGGGGAGACAGGGGGCAGGGCAATCCCCCTTTGCCCCAGCTCCCATCCCAGCTCTTCCCGCCCCGCTCTGCCTTCTCCCACCCCAATGCACCCCTTCCCTGAAGCCTCTTCCTTGAGTGACACAGCCCAGGGGATTTCCGGGTGACCTGGTATGGGACGGCACCAGGAGTCAGCCCCCCAACTCGGGAGCCACAGGAAGCAGAGTCACCCAGCTGGGAGATGGAGCAAGCTGCTGTAACACTCTACTTCCTGCAGCTCCCGCCGCTTGCAGTGAGTGAGGGGGGCCCCACCCCACCCCATGCTTCCCAGGCATCCCCCAGTCCACCCTGGGCCTCACAGACTAACCTCAGTAAGGGGGACCTAGGCTGGGATAACCCTAGTTCATGCAAACACCCCCCTTCTCTCCGTGAAAGGATGGGGGAGAGTCTTTCCCCCTCCTCTGTTCTACTGGAAGGACCGTCTGGGTCGTTATTCATAGACGGGGCAAGTCGCCGTCTCCTGTACTGTTCCCCTTTGACCGCCAAGCGGCTTAGATTGTTTGCTGTTGTCTTTGCTTGTCTGTTTCCCATCAATAGTCTTACAAGGGAGCCAGGCTCGACAACTGGACCTGGCATTTCCTTGCCTGCTAAAGCAGGGGTGGGGAACCTAAGGCCCCTGGCTTGCCTGGATCCTGCCCCTGAGGCTTGGGGCTCCCCACCCCAGCATTGGTGTGTGTGTGTGTTGGCTCCAGTCCCCCCACCGCCTCCCCATTGGGATAGAGCACACAAAATCTGGTCGCCTAGGGCACACCACACACTGAAATGCAAGGGGAATGCGGGGAGGGGCCACGCCAGTGAGGGGTTGTTTCGCTTCCCCCCCCCCCTTTGTCTTTGTGGGCAGCCCCCAATTGATTTTTGTGTGGGGCAGCAGCCCCCACCCCAAAAGAGGTTTCCTACCCCTGTGCTAAACAAAGAGGGGTGCATGAATTGTTCTTCACCTAGACCCTAGTGGCTCACTATTCCATCAAGGCCTTAAAACAGTTTCAGTGTTCAGTTACACATTATCCCTTAAATATTACCCGTACATACATCTCACCAGAGTCACTCTTATTTTTCCCCACCCCTACTCTGTCCTGCGGTCCCACCCATGCCCTGTCCCCTCCCCTAAGACCCTGCCTCTTCCTGTCCTGTCTCCACCCACTCCCTCATGCATCCGTCTAAGCACCACTCTCTGTCCTCGCCCCAAAACCCATCCCCAAACAGCTGAGGCTGGTGGGTGCTGAGCAAACTTGCAATGGCTGAGTCTTGATAAGTTACAAGCTTTCGAAAGATAACACCCCCTGCAAGACATGTGCTTGGCGTAGTAAGTTTGTCAGTTCTGAAGTCGAGTTATTGGCCGATCTTTTCCAGCTGGGCTCTGTGACCCATCAGCCAAAGCAGCAGAGGCCACTGAGTTAAACCTCAGAATCTTTTATCAGAAACTCCACAAAGAGGACTCACAGGCTTGTGTTGTACAAAATAATTCACAGCGATTTCTGACCCCTCTAAATTCCAACCCGATCTCTCTTGCCAGACACCTGAGGGCATTACTGTGCGGAGAGAATCTGTGATTTCACCCTTCATAGTCGGGATCTTTCCTATGACCCATCGCTTGCCTGAAATTATCCCGTAAGTTGCCTTAATCATCGCTGTGGGTGGAGTTAATAAAGACCTCCAGGGGCCCAGCAGGGAAACAGAAGATTGATGCATGTGAATCATTAGCTAATTCATCTACAAGCATCCCCCAGAGAGCTGGAGTAAATAAGCTCTGAAGCAGCTGTGTCCCCATGTAACACAGTGTTTGTGACACAGAGATTGCCAGAATGGATCAGAATCAATGTCCATCCAGTCCAATATTCTGTCGCCAAAAGTGACGCCACCAGATGGTGCACAGCAGTGTTTCTTAAACTTTTTAAGACCGAGGAACACCAAACAATTTTTTTTATGGGGAACACCGAGGATTTTTTTGTTGAGGGGGAAAAAAAAAGCCCCCAGGGAAAAAAAAGGCTTGAATTCTGTTCTCTCTGTGGCACACCTCCGACTGCCTCACCACACACCGGTGTGCCTTGGAACACACTTTAAGAAATGCCGGTGCACAGTATGGTATAAGAACCTTTGCAGCAGGCAGATGTGGGCTAACATTACCATGACGGTGTCGTCCTGATCTCTGATATTTAGAGCAGGGATGTAATAGTGGAGTTGATTGACCGATAAGCAAAAGCTCGTCTGTTAATGCTACAGACAACATGCATTTCCCCTTCTACTCCAGTAAATTTTGTAGCAGGCTGGCCAGCAGCCCAGCTCAGTCCTGGTTTACACTGGGTCTGGGACCTACCCCCGCAGCAGCGCTGCATTTCAAGTGTATTAGGAGCCAGGCGAGCAGGCAGCCTGGCTCAGTTCCAGCTCGTTCCAGGTGTGGGAGCTCAGACCCCCCTTACGCAGGACTGGGGCTGTTGCCACCTCGCGCTGCTGGGCCTCTGTATCGGAGGCAGCAATGCAGGGTGACAGGCAGCTGGTCTGTGTGAGGAGCTGGTTTTTCAACTGGCTCCCCTTGTGGACCAGCTTGCTCCTGGCACCCCATGCTGCTGCTTCTGATACAGAGGCAGCAGTGCGGGCTGGCAGGGGGCTCCTCAGGAGTGGGGCCGGAGTGCACTGGCTGTTGGCCCAGTCCCTAGGCACTACAGAATAGTCAAGTAACTGATAAAAAATTCATGAGGTTACTCGACTATTCAATTAACCGATATTTAACATCCCAAATTAGAGACTGGGTTATGCCTTATGGCGTGAGGTTTCAGAACCTTCCAGTATTGTTAGCATGAGCTGTTCTTCCTCTTTGGGGTCCAGTCCCTTTTGGATGGAGAACCTGTCAGAATTTGTCCTCCTACCCAACGTCTGTCACCCTGGTTTTGTTGAGCTCACGATACCCCTTGGACTAGGCAACCCTACATGAGATTGCCAGACGCCAAGAAGGCGAACAGTCATTTTTGTGGACCTGAAGACCTCTTAGAATAAATGCACGGGTTGGGTTCAGCTAGAAGAGGGCCAGTGAGACATAGCAAAGTATGTTAAGTTCAACCCTTTGTCTTTTCACTTTCCCCTCTAGTTTGGGGACGTGGAAGATTGTGGCGAGCTACAAAGACTCCCCTCAGCAGACCTTCAGTGCGCAGTTTGATGTTAAAGAGTATGGTAAGGATCCCACCGCTGCCCTTCATCTGTCCCACAGCGCTCTCCTCTTGCTCATCTCCTGAACCCTGTGTAGAGGTGACATGTTACCCAGTGCGGCTTTACCATGCTACAAGTTGCACCCTTCCCCCGGCTCAACGTTCTCTCCTTCCCCCTCATTTCTCTAGTGCTTCCAAGTTTCGAAGTTACACTGGAGCTATCTGAGAAGTTTTTTTACATCGATGGCAACGAGAACCTCACAATTTATGTCAACGCAAGGTGGGTCTCCCTGTGAGCTAGTGGAGCAGAAGGAGACGCAGTGCATCATGGGAGGCCCTAGCCATGGAGCATTGTGGGAGATGTTGTATGATTGGGCGCTCTGGACCCAGAGAGGAGAATGGAGATTTAAGACAATAGAACTATAAGTCTGCATTGCCAGATTTAAGTATTTGGGGGTTTGGCCAAAATATTTGTTTTTAGGCATTTAGTTTCGCATTCAAATAAATCCCTCCCCCAGCCTTGTGGAAAGCAGATGATTCATATAGAAAATGTTGCTTGGTACATAACCCAACTGGCCACTGAAAAAACAGTTTAGAGGGGAATTTTTCAGCATACTCTGCTCCCAAAGTGACGTTACTTCTGGTTAGGCGCTTCTTCTTCTTCTTCTTCTTCCGGCTCATGAGCAAAGTCCGTGGTTTGCACTCAGATTCATCATCCACGATTTCTGCCGTTGCCTCCAGCTTGCACAGCACATGGCAGTGACTTGAAAACAAATGGACTAGTTCAGTTTGATCAGTGACTGGGCCACCCAAAACCAAGGGCACGTGGTAGCTTTCAAGAGATCACAGTGGAAATTTCTTGGCTATAACCCCCCAAGCCAGCACCATAGATTCTCAGGAGGTTTCCTCTCCTCTTTCAGGTTCCTCTATGGGAATGAATTACAAGGCACGGCCTTTGTCCTCTTTGGAGTGAAGATTGGTGATGAGAAGAAGAGCATCCCGCAGTCTCTCCAGAGAATTGAGGTAACTCCTGTTCTCGGAGGCGGAGGGGGAAATGCTGGGGAAGTGATGGGCCCTTACAAATAAAGTTATGAAGAACTTTTCCAAAGGTACATCACCTTGAGGCTTTTCTACGCTGGCACGTTTCACCACCAAAAACTGCTTTTTGTTGTCAAAACAATGTGAGCATTTACAGATTTGTCGGGAAACCCCACACAGTTTGAGCGACTAAAAACGTCCACCGCTGCGAGAGACTGCTGTCTTTTCCCCTCCCTTTATTGTTGACAAAGAGCCAGGGAGGACTCCGCTAGGGTTTTTTGTGTGGAGAGAACTGGCTTCTGCTGCTATCCCACAATGCATGCCCTGATGGCTCTGCTCAGTGTTTTGTGATCTCTGCTGCCCTGCAGGCCTGTCTCCTTTCAAAGCTCCAGGAAGTATCTGACAGCTGAATGAGCTGTCAGGACAAACCAGCTGTGGCTAACCCGCGGCTCATAAGCTGTATGCGGCTCTTCCCCTCCTCCCTCCCTGCATCAGTGTGGCTCATGAAGCCGCCCCCATGCTCCTGAGAACGGCCCCCGCCTCCTGGCTCCTCTGTGCTCACTGGGTCATGGGAGCTGTTCGGTGCTTCCAATATGGTAGCGACTGGTGGGAGCCTGCTGAGGCCAAAAAGCATAAAAATGCAGTCCTCACACGCTTCTTAAAGGGGCAGGCCTTTTTTTCTTTGCCGTACAACTTTTGGAGCAAATCATTGGAGTGCTCCTGTTCTGTCCTGCTAGGAACACAGAGATAGGCAGGCTGCTGCTGGGGGGGAGGGCTGGAGAGACGGCTGTGCTGCTTTGAAAGCCCTCAGCACGGAGAGCTCCCAGGCAATCCCAAGAAGCGCAAGGATCAGCTCTGCCTTCCCACCACCTCCACAATGCTTTGCTCTGCCTGTCTACAGGGTGCTCCACTCTTCTTTCCCACCATGCTGCACTGTGGGATGCTCACCCACAATGCTTTGCTCTGTCTGTTGCCAGAAGTGCTGTCCATGTGACCGTGAAACGTTGAGAATGGGAGGCAGAAAAATTGATTCAGCCGGTTTTGCACATCGACAGCACTTTTGTTGCCAAATTTTCCCAGTGTAGACCTAGCTTTAGTCAGGTGTTTACCTCCAGTGCCACCTTGGAGTCAAGGTCAGGGCTGGGAGGGGACATGAGATGGAGAAGAACCAATGTGTGTGACCCTCGTAGGTTCCCCCTTATTTCTAAGATGTTCTTAAGTATCAAGAGCTACGTGGCTCCTTGGCTTTTTGCCTCTCTCCAACCAGCGGGCTGCAAGGCTGTGGGCAGACCATTGGCCTGAGTTTCTGTGCTTCTGTGATCCTCACTGGCCCGTCTGCTTCACACCACTCGCTCTGCAGCCAACAAGCTCCGTGGAAACCCTGGACCATCCCCACCACTCATAGCAAAACAGGCTACAATCCGGGCCACTCTAGCGACCATCCCCTGGCTGCGGGTAGAAGACCAGCCTTGAGCGGGGGGAGGAACGTGTCCGCTGCTCTAAACGCATGCAAGTGGAGGGAGCAGGCAGCTGCACGCGTGTGGACGTGCTTACGACGTTAAGAAACCCTTTCCCTTTTTCTAGATCACGGAAGGGAACGGGGAGGCGAAGCTAACCCGTGAGATGCTGCAGGCCCGTTTCGTCAACCTCACTGAGCTCATCGGTCACACCATCTACGTCATGGCGACGGTTTTGACGGAGTCCGGTGAGCAAGCGTTTTGTCTGGAGCGGTGCCAAGCTGAGTCCTGACAGCCTGTGATTTGTGTGCAGTTCCAGGCACAGCTTTAAATCTCTGGCCCTTTGTGGCTCGGCTCCCATGTACCTTAGAAACACCAGAACAGACCCCACCATTGATTACAATGGCACAGACTGTAACCATAATAGATTTATTTCTGACTGGAGGAGTGTCCCCGAGGTGGGGGGGGAGTCACTCGGCCCTGCACCCCTATCCTCAGCCAGAGGTGACTCTGAGCCGGCAGGCAGAACAGAAGGTTCATTAGGTGACAGGGACACAGCGTGGAACAGACTTGTCGGCACAGAAACCAGAAGCCGTCAGCACAATCCATCTTGGGGAGGAGGGGCAAAGCCAGGGCCCTGACCCACCCCGTGCACTCCAAGCCAGTGAGACTGACTCATCCCCAGCTCCTGGTCCCAGCTCTCCCCCCAGCCAGACTCGTCTTCTGGCCTTTGTCCACCTTTCCCGGGCAAAATGCGTCACCTGGTCACACCCATTTCTCGGGATCACGTTACGAAGGGCATCAGCCATTGTGTATGTGTGGGAGGCTGGAACACTGAAATTCCCACCCCCACCTAGGCATCGGGGCAGTGCCAGGGGAGCTGAGGCACGCCCACGGGGTTACTACAGCCTGGTAGAACTCGCATGTAACATAATAAGGGGATTGCTATCCCCACTTTATCACGCAGCAGGGAAGGCAAAATCTGCATTGGTCCTGAAAGAGTGGTCTTCACCCACCCCTTTGGCTTCTCTCCGCAGGCAGCGACATGGTGGAAGCCGAGAGAACCGGAATTAACATCGTCACGTCTCCCTATGAGATCCACTTCACAAAAACGTCCAAGTACTTCAAGCCGGGGATGCCCTTTGAACTCATGGTAACGGCTCTTCTGCCTTTCTTGTGTCTCTATCTGAAGCCAGAAGGGCTGCAGGGACCTCCATTCATGGGGATATAACTGGGATTGGAATCTGGCTCTAGGCTGACAATGTGTCGGGCAGCAGGGTAGGGGCATTGGATCAGGGCTGGGTGATAAAAGGTCCATGAGCCGGATGCGGCCCCGCCAAGCCATTTGATCCAGCCCAACACCCAGCCGCTCCCCCACACCCTGACCTAGGGACAGGGGAGCGCACGAAGTCTCCTCCCCCACCAGGGGTGCGCGGCACCAGGGGGAACCGCCAGCTGCTCCAAATGGCTGGCGATTCTCTCTAGGTGCCACACACCCTAGCAGGGCTGGGGTGAGGGGTGTGAGCCTTCACGCGTTCCCCCTCCCCAGGCCAATCAGGGGCAGGGGAGTCTGAGAAGCCTCCTTCCCTGCCCCCTCCACTGCCAGGGGTCGGCTGCGCCTAGAGAGAACAGCCCCTTCCTGCCTGAAGGCCCGCTCCTGCCAAACATTTGTGAAGTGGGCCCCCGGCAAAAATTGTTGCCCAGCCCTGGTCTGCCTTATTTTTGTCTCCTCTAACCAACGCTGTCCAATAACCCCTTTGTTGCCCAGGTCTATGTTACCAACCCCGATGGCTCGCCAGCCGCCCACGTCCCCGTGAAAATCAATGGCTCCCAGGAGTCCCGGCAGACTCAGCAAGATGGGACGGCGAAGCTGATTATCAACACGCTGGTGGAGAACTCGCTGTTAAACATCACCGTGAGGGAACCCTTCGCATGAGGGGCTGGGGGCGTTGTGGGCACCCCTGGGGAAACCCTCTCCGGCCAACACTGTGGCATTGTACAGATCCTAAATCAGTCATGAGCAACGGGCGCTCCTCTTTCACCCAGCAGGCCGCGGGTGGCCATCATTCTCCCGATGCTGGGTGGGCTCCCCTGTGGGGGGGGGAGGTGCAAGTGTCTGGCAATGAGCTAGAGGAACGGGCTGTGTGTTCGGTGAGCCTGCGACTGCCCGGAGGGCTGATGGGCTGAGGCGTGGAAGCGGGCGCTCGAGATGTTTCTTCACCACATCGTTGTTCAAACCCGGCGGCTAAAAACATTCACCAACATGAAATGAGTTTGGGCAGCGTCAGGCTGGGTGGGGGGGGGAGGTGCAAGTGTCTGGCAATGAGCTAGAGGAACGGGCTGTGTGTTCGGTGAGCCTGCGACTGCCCGGAGGGCTGATGGGCTGAGGCGTGGAAGCGGGCGCTCGAGATGTTTCTTCACCACATCGTTGTTCAAACCCGGCGGCTAAAAACATTCACCAACATGAAATGAGTTTGGGCAGCGTCAGGCTGGTTCGTCCTCCATAGAGAAAAGCCAGTGACTGTCCAGTGAGGCCTTGGCCTTCCCCGCTTCTCACGTCCGGCGAGACTTTCTCCCCCTCCTCCCCATCCAGCGGAGCCTTTTTTTCCTCCCCCATCTGCCAGGGGCATTTTGTGCCCCAGTCCCCCCCTCCCCCCTTTATCTCTCAAAGGTCTTTTCTCCCCCATCCAACAGGAGCCTTTTCTCTCCCCTATCCACCTTCTCCCCTCTGACCTGACAGGGCCTTTTCTTCCTCTCCTCCCCGCCGATCTAGATGGGCCTTCTACCCCCTCCCCATCTAGTGTGGCTTTTTCTCTCACCTTCCCCTCACCTTCCCCCTCCATCTGCCA